AAGGTCCCCTCGGAGCCTCTAAGGTCACTTCTCGCTGGATGGCAGCACAGCCTGCTGGTGTATCCACCACTCCTCCCAGTTTTGTGTCATCAGATTTATTCCCTAATGAGCTGGCATTCTGCTAATGAGCCTTAAAGGCAGGCCTTACACTTGCCAGAGACTTGCCATCACGTGTGGTTGCCTTATGCGTCATCAGTAGGCATCGTTCCTCACCTACGTACTGCAGGATGTAGCCAAGGCTCAGGACCTGCTGTGAGATCCTACCTGCCTATGTCGATTCTTGCGCAAACTCCTTTCAGGGACACGTAAAAGTTTGCTGTTGTGGTTCTGAGTGGAGAGAAGAGTGGAAACCCAGAGTTCTCAAACCATCTTGCTTTCTCTTGCAAAACCAAAGGGATTTTTCTCCACTTCAGATGGACTTAGTTTACATTTTGTGCACTGGTCTCATGGGCATCCGGCAGGCTCTGGAGATCACCATGTCCCTGAGCCCCCAGTGGTGTGACACGATGAGGAAGAGCTAATAAAAGACGATGAAGCAGTCTTGAAAATATTCATCTCCTCACAGGAGAGACAACTCGTTCTCTGCGTCCTCCATCTGCTGTCTCTTAGGGAATTTCCAGAGGATGGGTTAATACTGAGCAACACAGTGATGTACTGCTGCAGCCCTCCAGGTGAGACAGATACCTGTGCTTATCCTTCTCAGCAGACAGGGATGAGAAGCCTTTGCTTAGACTTCAGAGCTCATCTGTGTTATGTTTTTCCATCTCCCAGACCAAGAAGTCCCAGTGACTACGGTTCTTCAATGGTGCTGCAACACTGACTATAATATTGTGCCAGGTACTGGCTGCAGAAGAGACCTTCTGGAAGCAAATATACTCTTACCTTGGGTGTAGGCACCTGGGGATGTGGCTCTGGATTCAGACACACACAACTTCCTTGAGGTAGGTGTTCACACATGCTTGTGTGCATGAGTGTTGGGTCTTTAAGCACGGAATACAGCTAGTGGAGATCTAGCCCCTGTGGTCAGCAGATCCTGGGGAGGAACTCAGCTCACCCTAGGACAGAAACCTACATTTAAGGAATCAGACCTACATTTAGGGAGTCAGTTACTTTGTAGGCTCCATGCTCAAGCTCTCCTCTGGCTGCAAGAAGTTCTCAGACCCTCAGGATGTGAGAATCATAGAATCATAGAATGCCTTGGGTGGATCCTGGAGAGCAACTCACCTCACCCTAGGACAGAAACCTACATTTAGGGAATCAGACCTACATTTAGGGAGCCAGTTACTATGTAGGCTCCCTGCTCGAGCTCTCCTCTGGCTGCAAGAGGTTCTCAGACCCTCAGGATGTCATGGAATCATAGAACGCCTTGGGTTGGAAAGGACCTTTAAGGTCATCCAGGTCCAACCCCCTGCAGGGAGCAGGGACATCGTCCACTAGATCAAGTTGCTCAGAGCCCCATCCAACCTGACCTTGAATGTCCCCAGGGATGGGGCCTCCACTACCTCTCTGTGAAACCCATTCCACTGTTTCACCACCCTCTTTATAAAACTTTCTTTCTTATGTCATTCCATTGTCTCTTACTGAGATGTCCCCAGGCACCCAAGGCATCCATGTGGGAGAGGCAGACCTTCACCCAGGGTTTGCAGGGACCTGCATCCTGCTGGGTGCGAAGGAAGCAGAGGCCAAGTGGGACACAGCGGGAGGGTCTCAGATGCTTCTAGGCCGTGTTTAGGCAGCTGAACCATGCCCTAAGTCTTTGTGGAAGGGCCCTCATGTAGACCCTGAGATGTGGTGTGTGAGACTGGGGCTTGCACCATCCTGGGGTTGGTCTGAAAGGTTGGTTGGTGTCACCGGCAGCACGTGGGTCTGCTCGGGAGCATGGGTTGGTGAAAGCAGCCACAGGTTAACCTCGCTGCTCAAATCTGGAGTCACACCTGAGTCCTGCAGCTGCTGGTTGCCAGGATCATAGAATCACAGAATCTTTAAGGTTGGAAAAGATGTGTAAGATCATGAAGTCCAACCGCCAACCCAGCACCACCACACCTGCTAAACCATGTCCCCAGGTGCCACATATACACGTCTTTTGAACACCATAAAAACAAAAAAAAAAGAGGAGGATGCAGCGGGTCGGCACACTGCCTTTATGTGCAGTAATTAAACAGGATTTTTGACCCTGTTTCAGCCTCTAAAATGTCTTGATCCACGGACGTTTAGGTCAGAAGGTAAGCGCCTCTGTCCTGACCAGTCTTTTCAGCCAGCAGCTCCTGCAGCAGCCCCAAACCCAGGGCTAAGCTGTAGGTGAAACAGAGGGTTCAAAGCCTATAAAAGTCTGCTCTCTATTTTAAAACATCAAATGCTGTGTTTCCTTAGTTGTGTCATAGAATCATAGAATGGTTTGGGTTGGAAGGGACCTTAAAGATCGAGTTCCAACCTCCCTGCGATGGGCAGGGACACCTTCCACTGGGGCAGGTTGCTCAAACTCTGCCACGGGACATCCACAGCTTCTCTGGGCAACCTGTGCCAGGGCCTCACCACACTCGCAGTAAAGAATTTATTCCCTATAACTAATCTAAATCTGCCCTCTTTCAGCTCGAAGCCATTACCCCTTGTCCTATCACTCCATGCCCTTCTAAAAAGTCCCTCTCCAGCTTTCCTATAGGCCTCCTTTCAGGTGTCCCAACATCTGCGTTATTTCTGTTCTGAACTTCTCTAGCTCCTGCTTCTCGCTGCTGCCACGCTGGCCATGTCCATTGCCAAATTTTAGGCTAAGTGATCCTGTAGCAGGGCTGTACACAGGTGAATTTTACTCTGTGTTGTCACATGAGCCACCCCACGGCTTGCTGCTTGCTAAATAGCTGCTGCTGGATGATCATCCAAGTAATTTTTTTTAACAGGCAGGGATCTGGTGTGGTCATCACCTGGTGGTTTTTGTCACTGTGTGGGGAGAAGGAGCAGAAGTAACAGCAAAGTTCTGGCACAAATGAATCACAGAATCACAGAATCACAGAATGGTAGGGGTTGGAAGGGACCTCTGTGGGTCATCTAGTCCAACCCCCCTACCGAAGCAGGGTCACCCACAGCAGGCTGCACAGGACCTTGTCCAGGTGGGG